AGAAGACAGAYATCTAATAATGATCAAAACTACATTAATGTAAGAAAACATGTGTACTGTAAAGTTTAACTAGTTTGTTAGCAACTCTAATACCAAGTACATACATCTACTGCAAATATGGCTTTAAACATTACCACAAAAAAGTGCATATCAACAATAAATGAGAAAAACAAATACAATTTGTTATAAGTTCCTTCTTCTACTTACTTCTCGTTGGACTCAGCATATTTCTTCTTGTAGTACTCTTCAATTTCATCATCTTTCCTGTTCTGTAACATCTGTTGTAACCTACGAGCACCCTACAATCACAATAGCTCATGTTATGCATAGATCTCTTACAATATCAATCTCAAAAGGTGAGCATTCAACTTACSGACAAGTCAGCAGCTTCTGGTTCGTCATGGTCACCTGATGAATTAACAATGACAATATGAGATGATAACCATAAGTAACATTGATAAAAATATCTGCAGACTAATGTAATTATTATTTTTATTTGTAATATCAAAATCATGACTTTCAAATGAGAAGCTAAAAGTTTACAATGAACTTTTTTAAAAATTGGCATCTTTTCAGGAAGCTTTGATTTAAACAAAAACAAGTTTTATGGGTATCTTACACAACTGGAACCCATTGTACAAAGGGTGGGTAAAATCGCCCATGGTTAAGGATTCATCCACTGGATAAACAGCAACTTGGATTTGATATACTTGAAATGTTTACATTACCTGTTTCAATGAGGTCATGGTATCCTTTCTCTGCCTCCTCGTCATCTTCATAATCGTCATCAACATCTGAACAAAGTATAAAACATTAATAAAACAAATGTCAGGAATGTCTATATTTGTAACGCATGATAAATATTATCAATGTCTGATAAATAATAATATATGCATGATATTGATTTTCTGATGCACAATACATTGAAATGTATCATCAATGTGCGAGATAATACTTGCCTGCCTCTTCAAGGACAAACCCAGAATTAGGTCTATGTTTTCTACGCTTGACCTCTACTTCCTCCTCCTCGTCATCATAATCATCCTCATCTTCATCATCAAGATCTTCGTCGTCRTCATCTTCATCTTCCCTTGTGATGTCTTCTCCCTCCTGTTTAGGTTTGATAATATTATATCATAAAATCTCAATTATTCACCTTRTAAGTTTGTCATAATGAGCTTTACATAAGATTTGAATAGCCGATTTRCATTATGRCGTCATTTACTACAACTATCAGAATGCTTTGCCAACTTTCTTTTGTAATGCAATTAGTTCCAATTGTTTTCTTAATTCCAAGGGGATTAAAAATCTGAATAACAATGAAAATGTGCAAGGCTCTGTGGTAGTTGTAGTAAAGTTACGCCATAATGCAAATTACCTATTGGGATGTCGAGTGCTTCATCAAATATAGAAAAAGAAAACATATATCCCAACGTTACAGCATTCTTCTTAACAATGTCTACAGAATAACTACGTGTTGGAAATTATGACTTTCTTAACGCCACTGCTGGAACATTCCATAGCACAAGTCTAGAAAGCAYACAATGTGCCTACATAGCACAAGAAATCTACAAATTGATTCTAAACACCTTCAATACAACTAGAAATAGCTCAAGAATACCACACATACAGCGCAAAACATTCAGTGTAAATACCTCATCAGATAGCAGGGAGTCATCGCTGTCAGACATAGAGGCCATTTCGCTCTTTTTCCGCAATAAAACACTAAAAAAACCTTCTAAAACTGACTTTTTGTTCGGCTTTTCAAGATGGACGAAACACACTGCACTAATGGTAACGACCGCGGTGAAACAACATCGCTGGCGCWAAAAAACCCTGCTGACCAGTATTGATGTACGGCTCAAAAATTTTAAAAWTATTCAAAATGGCGAAGTTGTTGTTCAGTGAAAATGGTCTTGTTTCGGTAGTTTGTATAAATAARTTTAAGATTCTTGACTCTAGGTAAGTTTGCTTTAATTTTAGCTTGTAGGGAGATTGTGCGCACTAATATTCCTGTAGTTCTTGGAGACCCTTGCGCGTTCTAAGACTTGTGACAAGTTCGCACATGGCTTTTTAATACTATCAATATTACCATCAAGATCTGTTTAGTTGACTTTATTTATGCATATTTGGACTGSTTGATTAAGTAAACAAGTGCTTGAATTATTCAGTGACTCCATCACATCATGCCACACCATTATCTTCATCATGTGATTTATCTGTTCTTTCTCCTTAAGTGATGGTAAATGCAAGTTCTCCTGTAATCTATCTGATATCAAGATGCCCCAAGATGTCAAAAAGCAAATTATTGATGACAATAAACAGGACATGACACTTGGTCATGGGAATATTAGCTCATTTTCTCCATCTGGTAGACTTTATGGTTTTTGTACAGCAAATAAGATACTATCTCTATGGAGAACTGATACATGGGAATGTCTGAGTACAAGGTTGATAGAAAAGAAAGCAACAGCTGTTGTGTTTACTAATAACGACGAATATGTCATTGTTGCTGACAAAGCTGGTGATGTATACAAGTATGTTATTTTTAGTAGGATATTACGATAAAATTAGTACATTTAGAAAGATTGTAGTGATTGATGAGATTAATAACTATTATTATGTTAAGCTGGATAAAGAATAAAAGAAAAAAAGAATTTGAATGCTACTAATAACTATTAGCCATGCTGTCACTCTATAATCTTAATTATTATGATGATAATTTAATTTGAGAGCTTTGAATTTATTTGCTAGATTTTCAGCAAAAGATTCTGATTCAAAAGGAGATTTTGTTCTTGGACACATCTCCATGATAATGGATATGGTAAATACTGTTTTAACAATTGTCTCTTGAATAAACTTTTTGYTTTGCTTGCATAGTCTATTTTCTTTAGTGAAGAGAGGAACTATTCATTAGTCCCTTGTGAAGGGAATAAACAGGGATCCCATCTCACACTCTRTTATTCTATTCACTCAGGTACTTACAAAAGATAATAAATATATAATAACAGCTGAACGAGATGAAAAGATTCGGGTCAGTTACTTTCCAAACTCATATAGTATCCAGTCTTACTGCCTGGGACATTCAGAGTAAGTTTATGAAAACACTTTGTCAAAGTTAAAAAGAGCAGTTGAATCATAACAATGAAAACTACTTTAAGTTTTGTCAGCAGCATAAAGTTATTATCCAAAGATGATTTACTGGTATCYGGCAGTGGTGTAAGTAACTATTCAACCTACAGTATCTATTCATTCCTTTTTTCATCCAGTCATTTGTTTGTTCATTCATTCATTTGTTTGTCCTGTCCATTTCTTTGTCCATCCATTTGTTTGTCCATTCATTTGTTCATCCATCCCTTAATTTGATCATCCAGCCATCCACTAATTTACCATTGTACTATTTATATTACTTGTTTTAAATACATTTTTTGTTTATCATCTTATCTGCTTAATATTCATCCCTCCATATTTGTTCCAGGATAGTATGGTTATATTGTGGGATTACAAAGATGGCAAAAAAATCCACACAAAGCAACTGGACGGACACAACAGAACAGCAGAAAACCAGAAAGATTTCGAGGAATCTAGTGATACAGAAATTGTGTCACACATAGCAAGTTGTAGAAAGAATAATACTCTTTGTGTAATGAATGAAAAGTAGGTGCAGCATCCAATGTTATTTAATTTTGTGCAGCATTTTTAGAATCTTATCTKCATAAAAGRATTGTTTGCTTCTCCTTTTTTCAACTTCAGCTTCAAATCCCTGAATKCTAAGCTTGCATGTTAAAGTTTTTCTCTCTCTTTGTTTAGAAGCTGTAACCTACATTTATATCATGTTGACAGTAGTGGTAAAGTCACTACCCTCCCCTCCCTGTCAACCAGTGTACCCCCCTGGCATGTGACTTTTGATTATAATGGTTTACTATGGTGTTTGCTCCCAAATCAACAAGAACCTGTGGTTGTATTCAAATGGGAACACATAGATACTTTGATAAAGGTATGTTTAGTGATGAGAGAGTCTGAGCACATCAAATTGAAAAAAATAAGGTTTTTGGGTAGAATAAATAAGTTTATGTCATCAGTTATATGATTATGAGGATGTAATAAAAGCTGCAGTATATGATTATATCGATTTCAGAAACTGAAACACTGTGAGGTCCGATCAGATGTAATTTTTTTGAACCTGACAATGTTTGCAGTTCACTTTGCATCAATGGTACTTTTCCCTTAAAAGTTTCTTTTTGATTGCAGTATATGAAAATTGAATCATTTGAAGATTTTCCTCTKTATACAGCAATCAATGATTGGAGTTATCTTGAAGGTAATAATTATAAGACTGTATTGATTGTCATTTTAAATTGAATTTTTTATTTCTTTTCTTTATTGTTCGTTTGTACATGGAAATACAGCGGATATCACTTGTTGTACCATAAATTGGTATTCTCCACATTTATTCAGTGTATGATATAATCAAAGCTTTGAATAAAYAAMAAAWRAATGAATGAATRAATAGAGTAAACATTTCTCCCTTTCTCAGAGTGTGAAGGCAAAGAGTTGCAACTCTCTCTCCTTCGTAAGAGAACAGACACTGACAACATGAAGGAMTATCTGAATAGAAAAGAAGAAAGAATTCAACAGAAAAAAGCCAGACAAAAAGAATTAGAAGTGAAAGAATCGCAACTTAAKACTAAAAGAGTCAAAGTRTAATATTCTCCTGGTRTTGATTCAAGGGGGGGCTGGTGGGGATGTGCGACCCAATCCTTCAAAACACAGGAAAATATCCTGCATCTTGTAATTGATGTAAGAATTATTGYACTCTTGAAATAATAAAAATTATAGTTAATGTTTAACCGTCTTTCAGAATTATTGCGCTTCACTGGCCTCCAAAACACTCGGCTTTGTGCGTTTCTCTTGTATTAGTGCGGAGGTACTAAAACAGGGTTTGGGATCCCTGTTTTGTTAAGACCGGGAAGGAGGGGGACTAGACGTATAGCTTCAGAACATGTGCTGGAACGATTGTTGAAACAATTTTGCGTTATTTTTGTSCTTTTTTGACCATTAAAATTTAGAACAGAGAAGATATTGTACGTCATAAAGTCTCGTTAGAAACTTATATTTCTTATAGAAATTGTATTGAGGTAAGAATAGTTTATTTATGCATCTACTTCGTATGTTTGTTGCTCTTTGTTCGACAAGTGCATTGGATAAYTTTGAATAAGTTAACTTAATWAACTTTTTTGTACGGTAAATTYCCCGTYTRATACACGCAAATGACGAAGAATTTTATGGTTGCTAAGTTAKTTMTATTCAAGAGCTTCTATTTGTTTTATAATGTTGTACCAACTTGATGACAGCGAAGTATAGCCAACTTTAATTTGGAMATGRATTTTGTGTTTCAATTGCAGATGCATAATAGATATAAAGATGGATGAGCCAGAAATCAAYGTTAATTTGTGTCCAACTGCAGCACAAGTGTCATATTCTCTGGGAAGTGATCTCCAAATCAAGAATACAGACCAAGSTCATRCTGTTGTCAGTCTGGACAAASCTGTTGTTGTTGTTTCTGTTGAATCACAAACTAAAAATACAAGAAAATCCCAGATAACCACAAAAGTAGTAAAAACAAATACCTTCACAAGTAAACCATCAGATCGAGTGCAAAGGCATTGTAAGTAAATGTAAAGTACATATGTAAGTACATGTAAATGCCCTTCTGTGCAGTTGTAGTGCCTTTTTGTAAGGTATAACAGATGTAATGTTGGATGTCATGACCTAGCTTATCATCATGTCTGTCATCACAAACTCACCATTTGTCCTGCTTCAATRAAAATACAGGTTGTTCAAGATGTTATTGCAAGTTAAAGAAACAATTACTTACTTTTGTCCATTCAGCTATCAAATATCACTCGATACATGTACATAAAGCATGTTCCAAGTTACACACACTAAGAAACGTTCTCCCTAATAGTGGCTCCTGCTGCCATCTTGAAAGGTATTCATTTGAGATGGAGCTTGCAAAAGGACATATATACCATGGGTTGTAAAGCTTACATTTGTATCTTTCAAGATGGAGCAGGAAACAGTGAAACTATTATCTACAGTTTAATTTGCTGAACAATCCAATGTTTSTATATTTCAGTGCCAGGAAGGGAACAGAATGTACCATGTGAGAAATGCAAAATAAATCTTCCTTCTCACAGGGCATTACGAGAACACACCAAGAAATGTTCTGTAACAGCAAGTGATATTAATGACATTAAGTGTTTCGTATGTCAAGAAATGTTTACAACAAGTAAATCATACAATGAGCATTTAAGCACTCAYTGCCCTGAGACCTCTGATAGATGTCCAATCTGTAAGAAGGAGTATAAAAAACACCAAAATCTCATCGATCATCTACGTATTCATTCTCGTTATCAAGTGCATGAATGTCCTACYTGTCAGCAGGTATTCACATTGAAGAGCCATCTTACTTCACATTTGCAGCTTCAYGAGAGTCAAAAAAAGTACATTTGTCCACATTGCGACAAGAAATTCAACTATGGGTCATACTTCAAACTTCATGTGAAGACACACAGAGGAGAATTACCTTATAAATGTGAGGATTGTGGACAAGCTTTTGTTCAACCATATCTCTTAAAACAACACATGCAAAGAAGGCACAATGCTGACAARAAATACACCTGTGAGCATTGTCAAAAGTCATTCATTCGATTGACAGATTACACTGTTCATCAACGAGTACACACGGGAGAGAAGCCATTCAAATGCTCRCAGTGCAATAAAACATTTAAACAAACMAGTACAYTGTACMGACATCAAATTATTCACTATGCTGAGAAACCCTATCATTGCCAAAAATGTGGCAAGGCATTTTCCGACAAAAGCTCRYTGAAACGGCACGAGACAGTTGTTTGCAAAGTTAAAAATACAAGCAAAGAAATGTCAGATRCTCCAAACAATAAACAAGTCTGACTASTGTACAAAATTCATTTCCAGTTTTTTATTAAGAAATATAAACCATGTAAGTTATAAGGTCTAGAATTTTAATGCTGTGCAAAACACACAAGCTGAAATAGAACRTTATTTTCGTSGAAGYTTATTTATAACTGGAAACCATATCGTATTTTATGTATCGTCCCACATAATATTTATTACTGTTACTAATTCTAATTCTTGCCATCAAGGCCAGCAACAAAGGTCATGGCAATACCGAGTCTGCTACTCCAGAATCTCTAACTTCTATTTGTGCTAATTTTACATTCTGTAAACAATGTTTATTTTATTTATATAGTCAACCATGACTTTAAATATAATTTTTCCAGCAGAGCCATTGCACTTAGTCCATAAAACTCAAATAGTACAAAATAACTACTWAATTATGCTCTAGAGTGAACGCACTTAATCCGCASAACTGTACAAACTAAATGGTGCTATTTAGTTGTATTTAGYAAATCRTGCATGYGGTACGCAAATTAAATTGAATTGATACAAATGAAGCATTCAATACCGTCTTGCTTCAGGTTCACTTTTAGTACAAATTAGTTCTACTTAGATTTTGTACAGTTGCATGGATTAAGTGCGTTCACTCTATCCTTTCTTTCCTGTCTATTCAAAACTATTTAGTAGTAATAAGTACTATTTGTTTTCTGGATTAAGTGTGTCTACTCTATAAAGTATTTATTGTGCATATATTATATTTTGTATTTATTATACCGATTACATTTAATGATTAAATTTGAGTGTTTTTTACAGTTATTGTAATTGTACTTTTGATCTGTTTCATATTCTAGATATATAGATTTTTCATTTGACGATGAATATTTATTCACTTGCTCTTAAACAATAACAATAACTGACTGATTTATAATACTAACTACTGTGGCCAGTTGTACAAAGGGTGGATAAAATTATCCATTTRATTTTGAATGGGATTTTATATGTTGGAGTAAGATTTCATATGGATAGYGATATTCACCCATCATACTGGCCCCTGATATTTTGACAACTCATCGATAAATGACAATCACTCTGAACATCAAAGTAGCCAATCACAGAAAGTGTTCTAAGAAGCTTTAAATGCTCAAATTCCATTCTTCTCTTCTGCGTACATTCATAAATATGTAGTCTTCTGTTGAATTTTAGCTAAATTGTTCTTGATAAATCAAGCAATTTTTTTGTCACTTCCAACAAAGTTGTAGAACAAGTTTCCACTGATGCAAATAATACAAGTCAGGAAAAAYACAGAATTCCAACTATTGGTGAGATGAAGGATGTAACCAGTTGCATAAACACCAAAAATACCTGCAAACGAACAGACATAAATTAAGTGATGTGCTGCCATTTTTACAGTTTATTGGCAGGATTTTAAATAGTGAGAATGCCTCCTCGCATTAGGACCAGCTACGTACATGTAGGCTCAATATGCTGGTCTGTCAATTGCTTGAGGAGATCTCTAAAATTCATAAACTATAAGCTATGTTTGAACAGTGTTACTACAACAAGTAGAAGTATAGAGCACAGAAGAGATAATGTTCATCTTACCAGGAATTGCACCAATTGAGCAAACTATACCTACAAGAAAAATAAATATATTTAGCATTTTTAGTAATACAATTACAATTATTATTCATAAAATTTATTCATTTGCTCATCTGCCCATCCATTTATTAGTTCATTTCTTTTTTCATTTCAGTAACCTTTCATTTACTTGATCACGATTTTAAAACAACTGCTGACTGTATGTAATGCACGTTATAAAATGTGTGACGACAGACAGACAAAAAAGTAACTAGATAATATTAATTTACTAAGATAACCATTATGAACATAAATGTTTACCAGCAATCAAACCAGCAAATGTAGGTGATAAATCTTGCACATTACATAGTGAACCACTTGTYGTCAGCCCYGACAAACCAAGAACRAGACTCATACCAAACAGAGTATGCCAAAACCCTGTCATGTAACTTGAYGCAAATAAAATAATGGATGCTCCAGATGTACCCACAGTCTGTGGAGAGATGATATAAGCTCAGAAAATGTGGCAGAATGACTTGTGTACTTTTCATTTCTGCTGTGGGGTCTATGATACATGTATATCAAAGCTTAGCATATTTGAATTGAACCAACCTCAAGGCCTTTGCGAACAAACGCAACTGAAAAACCTTTCAAAAGAAAGAAATATGGTGAMTAAGGATACTACAAATAACACTATATAACTATAATGCTAATTTATTATTCAAAAATGAGGGGTTGAAGTTAGATAAAGTGTAGATTTCATGGATTTTTTTGCAACAAGTAATTAACAGACAAGCACACAGAGATAGACAAATACAAAATGAAGAAATGAGAGTATAATTCACAGACAAATATGAATAGAGAAAGCCTGTGAATAAAAATGAATCTTTACCATTTTGTATCATGTTGTCTGCGATGTGACCTCCTGAAATCTTTCCAATTAGATTTGCTACGTATGGGAGTACATTAAATACCCATCCCTGCAATACAAACAAAACAGAAAACAAAATCAGTTTGCAAATCAACACGAGTGCAGTAAAGTACTGAAATGTTGTATGAATAGTACCGGAGCATCAGGATATTTTTCATGAAAGAATGTTGGTAGCCATGAAATAAGGTTG